GAATCAGCCCGTGCTCCCGGGAATCAGCCCGTGCTCCCGGGAATCAGACCGCGCTCCCAGGAATCAGCCCGTGCTCCCAGGAATCAGCCCGTGCTCCTGGGAATCAGGTCGTGCTCCCAGGAATCAGGCCGTGCTCCCAGGAATCAGCCCATGCTCCCGGGAATCAGACCGTGCTCCCAGGAATCAGACCGCGCTCCCGGGAATCAGACTGTGCTCCCGGGAATCAGGCCGTGCTCCCAGGAATCAGCCCATGCTCCTGGGAATCAGGTCGTGCTCCCAGGAATCAGGCTGTGCTCCCAGGAATCAGGCCGTGCTCCCAGGACCCACCTTGTTCTGGTACCAGGCCTCGGCCTCGGCGCGGCTGCGGTTGGCGATGTCCTCGTACTGCGCCTTCACCTCGGCGATGATGCTGTTGAGGTCCAGGCTGCGGTTGTTGTCCATGGAAAGCACCACCGAGGTGTCCGACACCTGCTGCTGCATCTGGGACAGCTCCTGCCCACGGGGAGAGACCCAGCGTTAAGGGGCCAGGGTGGAAGTGGTTTGGGAACTCTCTCCCCGAGCTCTTCCCTTGCGTTTCCGCTGCTCCATCGGCGTTTTCCACCTTATTCCTGCTCTGTCACTTCCAAAAAGGCCGTGACCACCCTCCCTTGGCACTGGACAGCCCCAGGCACAGCTCCCAGAGCTCTGGGATGGGGGATCCATAGGGAAGGAACTGTGAGGATGCTCTCCAAGGGAATTTTCAGTCCCAGAGCTCTGGGATGGGGGATCCATAGGGAAGGAACTGTGAGGATGCTCTCCAAGGGAATTTTCAGTCCCAGAGCCCTGGGATGAGATGATCCATAGGGAAGGAGCCATGAGGACACTCCCGAGGGGAATTTTGAGTCCCAGAGCTCTGGGATGGGGGATCCATAGGAAAGGAGCCATGAGGATGCTCCCCAGGGGAATTTTGAGTCCCAGAACCCTGAGATGGGATGATCCATAGGGAAGGAGTTGTGAGGATGCTCCCCAAGGGAATTTTGGGCACTCACCGCCTCGTAGAGAGCCCGCAGGAAGTTGATCTCCTCTGCCAGCGAGTCTGCCTTGCCCTGCAGCTCCACCTTGTTCATGTAGGCGCCGTCCACATCCTAAGGAAAGGAAACCCAGGGATTTCTGGTGAAAACCGGGAGCCAAAGGGGGGTGAGGACACCAGGGACCTGCTTCCAGGTCTGTTATTCATGGAATCGTGGAATCATGGGATGATTTGGGTTGGAAGAGACCGTAAAGAGCATCTTGTTCCAACCCCTGCCATGAGCAGGGACACCTCCCACCAGCCCAGGGGGATCCAACCCGCCCTTGGACACTTCCAGGGATCCAGGGGCATCCTCTGGGAAATCAATCCCAGGGCCTCCTCGCCCACCCTCCCAGCCATAAATTCCTTCCCAATATCCCATCTCTCCCTGCCCTCTGGCAGTGGGAAGCCATTCCCTGTGTGCTGACCCTCCATCCCTTGTCCCCAGTCCCTCTCCAGCTCTCCTGGAGCCCCTTCAGGCCCTGGGAGGTGCTCCAAGCTCTCCCTGGAGCCTTCTCCAAGCCAGTGGGGATGGGATGGGATGGGATGAGTGTGTGTTCCCCTGGAGAGGGGAAGGCTCCAGGGAGAGCTTGGAGCCCCTTCCAGGGCCTGAAGGGGCTCCAGGAGAGCTGGAGAGGGACTGGGGACGAGGGATGGAGGGACAGCACAGGGGACAATGGTCAGCTGGAGGACCCCAACTCCCACCAGCTTCTCTGGGTGAGCCAGTTCCCTTTTCATTCCAACAATTCCCTTTCGATTCCCACAATTCCCGGCTCCCCCACCTTCTTGAGCACCACGAACTCGTTCTCGGCCCCCGTGCGCCGGTTGATCTCGTCTTCATATCTGCCAGGATGAAAAGGGGGAGAGGGGGAGGCTCGCGGTGGGAACCGGGGGCTGGACCCGCCCCGCTCCCGAAGCCTCAGTTGTGGCTCCCGGCCGGGTTCCATCCTCCCACCCGCTCATCCCCAGCAGACTCGGGGCAAACATTGCTGCCTTTGAACCTCGGGCGTGTGAGCAGGCCCGGCCTAAATGAACCCGTTTCAGTGGCCGCCCATAAAGCCGAGCTCACACACAAATGTGCCCGCGTGGAGCCCGGTCGGGCAGGAAACGGGAGCAGCTCTTCCAGGTGACCTCTGCCCCGAGCAAAGTTATGCAAAAAAGGGCTTTCAACAAAGCCTGCGAAGGCATAATGAGGGAGCCATTTGATATTTGATATTGTAATAATGCTAATGGCTCTGAATAAGCCGCCGCAGCGTTTAATTAAACATGAAACGGAGGGTTGGGCAAGAGGAGGATCATCCCGGGGTTCTGCGGAGCTTTTCGTGGCTCTGAGCAACGTCCTCTCATCAGATAACCAGGGCAGGGCTGGGCTGGAGAGCAGACAGAGCACGAGGGTTCTCCAGGCAAAGGCCTGGATTTCAGGGGCAGGTTCGTGCCAGTCCCCAAACCAATATTGGTGAGGGTTCCGTGCGGTGGGATCTTGGAGCAGGCACGGGAAGGAGCCAGTGGAAGGGGAACTCTGGACTTGAGTAACTCCAGACTTGAAATGAAATGTGTTCTCCTTCCCAGGTGAAGGGAAGAAACCCGGGAACCAACCCTAGACCTGAAATCCAATCTGTTCCTAGACTTGAAATCCAATCTGTTCCTAGACCTGAAATCCAATCTGTTCCCTCTTCTCTTTTTCCCAGGTGGCAGCTCT